TAACCTTGTTGGTGCCAGGTGCCATCTGTAAAACATTTTGTACTGGTTTTCCTTGTACGCAGGTCCAATCTTTCTTAATGGGCATAAAATCTCTCTCTCTAAAGACATCTGCTGGAGGCTATTAAGAAAGAGCTGCTTTCTGCCTTTAAGAACATGTTTTCTCTATTTCTCCTTTGGGCAAATAATCTATCCAATCTCTTTTAATGTTAAGACTAAGAATATTTTTATCTAGGGGGGATGGCTTCCTACAGTATGAAAAAAATGGTCATTCCAAGTAACAAACCCCTTTTTTCATTGCCATTGTAACTCTGAATGGTCACTAAATGAATGGTTGTAAGTCAAGTACTACCTGAACTTCAAGAAGGAGACAATGCAAAGCTTCACGTCCAAAAACATTTCTATCTGGGGAATTCTGGAACCATCATTCTCTGGAAAAATATTGGGGAAACTGTATTTTAAAAATAGAGAAAATCCTTCATTTATTCTATTCTTGGCAGTTGCTTTTTTGCTGTTAACATGACTTATCTTGTATTCCTTAACTAAAATACCATGGAAAAACGTCTCATGTATCCAAGTCCCCTTGACTGATTCACTTGTGCCATCAAGTTGGGGTCAACTCTTAGTGAACCCATAGATGGAGCTTCTCCAGGATGATCTATCTCTAATTTGGCCCTTCACTGCACTTTCTTCTTCTTCTTCATCAGAAATTGAAGGATAAATTTAGATAACTGTCATGTTAAAAAAATGCCTGCTAAGTCTAATTTATATTATTTGGTCATTGACCCAAAGTTCTATCTTGACTATATCCCTTCAGTGCCATTTCTTTTTGTGTTTGTTTAGGTTGTCAATAGCAAATAGCATGATCTAACCAGTGGTGGGATTCAAATAATTTAATAACCAGTTCTCTGCCCTAATGACTGCTTGGGGTGTGTGACAGGCAGGCCTCCTGTACACTTCCTGGGAGCAAAAACAGGCCATGGAGGGGGTGGGGGGTGGCGGAGCCTAGTAGGCCTTCAAGCAGCCTTCTAGGAGCAAAAAATGGGCCTTGGAGGGGCCACGCTGTACCCCCCACACACCCTGTTTTGGGCCTAGTAGGCCTCCCTGCAGCCTCCTGGGAGCAAAAATGGGCCACACGAGATCTCCTGGAAGGGGCAGGGCCAGCCAGCAATTTAACAACCGGTTTGCATGAACCGGCCTGAACTGACTGAATCCCACCACTGGGTCTAACTGAAAGTATCTGCAAATAGTTCTTGACTTCCAACCAACCAGTTAGCAACCTTTTGAAGTTACAACGGACCCCTTCGCTAAAAAGCTAATTATAATCCGATTTTGAAATTCCAATGTTGCCTGCCCAGGTGGTCATGTGACTATATTTTGGCTGCTTGGCAACCAGCCAGCACACATAGCCATTTGCAGCATCCCTCGGTCTTATGACCATGAATTATGACAGTTTTGCCAAAAACCAGAAACTGTTTATACAACCATGGAATTTGCTTAAAGACTGTCATATAAAGGTCATAAATTCAGGTCCCGTCCACAGGGTGAGTCGCTTTATGGCCAGCGCAACTGTATCAGTAATTACCAGGCTCAATTGAGCAGCCGCAGAAGTCAGGCAGCAGCACAACAGGTGTTGGGGCGTGGGAGGCCTAGCTGCGGCAGTACTAAAGTAAGTGGGTAAGACATCCCCCCAAAATAAGACCTGGCAGCATTGATATACTTTTGAACTGCTAAGTGGAACTAGGTGAAGACAGGTGCTCATCCCGTCATGCTATGCATGGATCTCTAACCTGAAATGTTGGCTTTCCAGCTAGTTGTTAGGTGCTAGGTGCTAGTTGTTACTTATAAAGCCCTACATCACTGTTCCCTCTAAGGTGCGCGGCCGCGTGGCCGCGCACATGGCAAGTAAACATTGCGCAGCAGTTTCCCA